GACCAGATTGTGAAAATGAGCTGCAATCTTCTGGGAAACCCAGGCCTGAATGAAAGTGGAATTACAATTCTGAAGAAACTCTATATCACAATGAGACATGAGGCATAGAGATACAGATAATGAATATTCACAGAGGATTAATTACCTCTTCCACCCAAGAGTTATGGTTCAACATGAACAGTTACTGTGGAAAATGTTACTCTTGGAGGACTGTCATTGTCTTTCATGACAGAGACACCAGGATCAGAACAGCAATGGCACTGACTTTGGCACCAAGCATCAAATCAAACCATTTCTCTGCAAACCCACACTGAGTCCCCCATTTGCCTGGCACAGAACTGAGCTCTCACTCTCCTCACACTGCATTCACAGCCTTCAGTTTCACCATCAACACCAACCACAATTTTGGTTCCATGTTGGCCACAGAGAAAACAACACCTTGGGGAAACATCCATTCATGAAGTTGTATTTCTTGAATGAAATATTCAAGGTCAGGCTGGCTGGGGCTCTGAGCCACCTGCCCTGGTGGAAGATGTCCCTGCCCATGGCAGAGCAGCTGGAACAAGAGGATCCTTAAGGTCCTTTGCAACACAAACCATTCTCTCATTCTGTGCTTCTGGGATTCTATGATTACAAGTACAGCTACAAGGAATGGATAACAGATACTCTCCCTACTGGATAATTATATATTTTGGAGTTTGCAGGATTGCCAGACACATTCAGCTTTACTCCTTGACAAAAAAACAAGCAAACAAAGAAACAACCCAACCAAACTCAACCCAAAGAAATTATCTAAAGGAACTGAAATGAACCCAGAAAAGAATGGGAAAATGCCAGAAGAGTATCAATCATTGCCTCACATTGCAGATTGGGTCAATTGCAGTATATACACAACCCAGCAAACTCAACTGTAACCAATATCCAGGAGCCTCACACAGGACTCACTCCACAGGCTCCAGGCTGTCATTTCCTTGGACAGTAAGAGAAAGTTTGGAACCAGAGCTGGGGGCCTCATCTAAACACCAGGAGAAACAGAACTGGACACCATTCATTCATTTTGAACTGTGTCACAGTGAACTCCAGCACCAGCCCTGTCTCTGCATACACAGACTTCTTCTCTCTGGCAAACATAACATTGAAGCAAATTTTGCATACAGACATCATTAGAACAAAACTCGTGTGCACAGCTTGTCAGAGCCCAAGCATCTCAACTAAGGTTATTCTGCTCTTCCATATTACCTAAAATAGTGGGAAATTTTATATAGTCCATAAATTTTTACCAGCTCTGTCGAACACCCACATATCCAAGTATCACCTCCAAGACAAAAATCAACATTCTTCAGCACATGGACTACCAAAAGCATGTGTGACTACCACTCTTGATGCAAAGGAATATGGAACAAACCTACGCCATTTCCATCCAAACCACACAATTGAAAATCATACGACTCCTCCTGACTCATTTTCAGAAGGCCAGCAATAGCCCTGGGGATCAACAAAACACCACAGGCCATGTCTCCACCAGGGCCTCCTCACAAACCACACAACCAACACTCACTACTAACCCTTCCCACCTCCCGTGGATAGCACAAAAATTCAGAATTTGGAGAGGCTCCACCAAGAGGAAAGTTGCTCAGACAGTATCTCTTTATCATGGATAATATTTGACATCACATCCGAGAAATGGGACAAGAAAAAAGCATTTATTAAAGAGATATTTTTGAGAAACACGTATATGAATGTCTCTCCCTTTTCACCTATAACCATGAAATAACCATTTTCAGATCATCAGAAGAATGAAACAGAAAGTTAACACCTGCACAACTGAAGAGCTCACAACTTTTTTCTGGGTTATGTAACTCAGAATAGATGATTGATGACGTTGTTTATAGGCACTGAATCTACAGCTTGCAATTCCCATACCCCATCTGTCATAAGTAAAAATGAAACCTTTAAGTGACACAATTATGATGACATGAAAATACTTATTAAGAACCTGCCAGAGTTCTACATGCAACTGGAATACAGATCATCTAGACAATTACGTGGGAAAGAACAACCTCACATTGCTTCATCTTAGAGATAGAAACTGGACAGGGAATGGAGAAAAATATTCCCCTGAGTCTTCCAGCAGACATTCACACACAACTCACAGCACTCAGATTTCCAACCCTACACATCATCCATGCTGTCCTTTCACCCAGACAGATTAAAAACGTGTGACAGTGGAGGCCCAGTTCACCAGACCATTTTTATTCCCAGCACCAATTTCACACAGCTGTCTGTACATCTCTGTGCTGTGGAATATACATTTGCTGCTCACTGGAGTTCTGTGAAGAGACATCAAAAGTCTCAAAGGAAAAGCTGAGCAGTCTTCCAAGAGACACAGAGTGAATAGCTGCTCACGGGGAATTATGCCCACCTTGTATTTCTCACAGCACTTTGAATCTCTCCCTTCCCATCCAGGCAATTCTCTTGCCATGGTAAATATTTTCTAGACAAGACTCATCCACGTCCATTTGAAAAAGTTCTACCTTGAAAAAACGAGACAAAACCAAAGCAGTTCTCCCATTTCCTTCTGCATTTTCTCTTCCAGACACCCACACACTTTTGAAACAATCACAACTTCAAGACGATCCTGCAGCCTCAAAACAGGAAGAGAGACATCATCGAGGACCAGTTGTTGCATGGTCCAATCCTCTCTTGGGGACAAAGACCAAAGCATGGATGACACAAACACTTCCTGCTGACCTCCAATATGTGTCATGGAAGGCGATAGAGGCTGAGAACTATGTGCAGAGAGGTTCCACATAAAGCCATCAGTATTTTGTTCAAGACAGACTCTACCTATTCAAGCGCATGGGCTCTTGAGAAGACACACAAGCCTGCTATAAACTTGTATTTCCTAAAACACAATCTTTTTTTTATGAGGACTAAATACTAACAGGAACACAAATTCTACACAGCACAGCTGATAAAGGGGAATAATACCAGGAACCTCATCAAATGCAAAAACCGATGACCGAATCAACAGCCTAGCACCAGCAAAATTCTCCCTCCTTCTTTCTTCACATACGGGAAGGCTGAGGACCCACCCCATGTTCACACAATGACAGCAATGCGCACCACCCTTCAAAACTTCAACAACGGAAACTTTACCATGATTTTAGTCAAAGTCTCCTCGGCAAGCGAGAAAACACGGCGGGGAAAGGGCAGGGCACTATCAGGAGAAACGGTCGGGGGGAAAATCTGGAGAGAGGAACTCACCGAGGGAGGGGCGAGATCCGAGAGGATGGCNGCAGCATAGAATGGAATTCAGGCGCTCTTAATAAAATCATGGGCCATTAACACCAGCAATATCCGATAATATAGGGAAGATTTCAAAAGCTTTTCCACATTATCCTCAATTGTCCTTTCATTATCTGGGAAAAATAAATTGGAGATGAAGATCCGCCTAACGCAATCTAACATCCCCTATGCCAAGATAGCAGAATAAAATGTACTCTTTTCTTTCTGACAAGGCAATGACCCAGTTCTTCTCCAGCCTCATACACAGAGCTCCCCTCTCTGCTTTTTCTTCCATGCAAGGCCACTCTGAGGTTTTGCTTGTGGCCATCTCCTCACTGCTCAAATCCATCATGAGATGATAATGCACTGCAGCCACACCCAGAAGGGAGGTGCAATTGTCTGCCCACCTCCATTATGATAATGAACTGAAGGATTCTAGGGCACACAAATGATACACAACCATATTAAAAGATCAGCAGTCATCCAACTGAGAATGGCTTATCAAGTCATTGGCTTTGAGGCAATCTCCTCCCTGTCCTTATCACATACTCTTTTCCACAGAGAGGCAAAGTCTACTAAAGTCATATTTAATCTATTTCTCCCAACAAGAACACATAAAAAGTCACTCTCATAACTCCTGCCTTTCTCTCCCATAGCAACTAGAGCAGGAGACCTTGGCACATCATATGTTACTAAAAAAAGGTGTTACTAATTGTAAGTATACCCACATATTGTGTAAATCAAGTGAAAACAAAACAAAGGAAAAAGCCTGCAAGGAAACCCAAAAACATGAATCAGATCATGGGAGGAAGCATTACAAGAGTACAAGGAGTCAGGGATGCTCACAGTGAATTCTTCCAGACCTTTATTGCAGGCCTTAAAATGCATCCCTGAGAGCACCGTGAAGTCCCTGAGGTCTCAAGGGACAAGTGTGGCCCTGACATGCACAGCACAGCAGGACAGGGGGGTTATTTACACAATTAGTCCTCTCCTCACCAGTTCATTCTACTGCATGGCCTGCTCACCTTGCTTGGCCGCAAAGTTATGAAACCATCATTTGCACAGTTCTGAAGCCATCATTTTACAAAGCTTCTCATCAGCCTCTTGCTTAAGGTAAATCTTATGACAATTTACAGCAGATTTTCTTATAAATTATATTTCTTACTCCCCACACACCATTCAGTCTGAAGTGGCTGAAGTAAGGATGTGATGAAAAACATCAGTCACTGTTTCATATTGAAAAGTACTGACAAGAATTGTGAAAATGAGTTACAACCTTCCAGGAAACAAAGGACTAAATGAAAGTGGAATTACAATTCTGAAGTAACACTATATTAATATGTAGCCTAGAGGTACAGATTATGGAGGTTTCACAGAGGATGAACTAGTTAATCAAGCAAAGAATTATGGTTCAACATGACCAGTTACTGTGGAAAATGTTACTCTTGC